GCTTCTGAGAAGGCTCGCCGCCTTCTGAGGGGGCCTTCCCCCTTTCATTCCCCCCCTCGCTCGCCGCCGATCCTCTTCCGTCAAGCCACTCTCCCGCCCTGCCCCCTCGCCAGGACGCGGCCGCCGCCGCGGACGGAGGGGAGGTCCCCGCCCAGGCAGGCCCGCTCGAGGGACGGCGGCGGCGGCGGCCGCGGAGGCCGCTTTGGTGGACGGCGGGCGCGGCGGCGACGGCGGCGACGGCGATGACGAGGGGGAGGGGTCAGCAGCCGAGAGGAGGACGAGGACTGGAAACCAGAAGGGGTGGGGGGAGGGGTGGAGGGTGGACGAGTCAGGATGGAGAGGGGAAGGTGGGGGCACAGGAAATATGTGAGAGGTGGGGAGAGGAGGGGGACGAGGAGACAGGAGCCGGGAAGGGGAGGAAGAGGGGTGGAGTGAGTAGACATGGGGATGGGGGAATCAGCAAAGAGGAGGGGGAGGCGGGGTGGGAGTTCGGGGGAGGAGGGGGATGGGAGCGGGGGAGGGATATGGGCAGGGAGGACATATGAAGAACGCGCATACACAGAAGGAATAGTGTGAGGGGAGGAGGGGATATGGACGGGGGGGGATAGAAAGAACAGGCGTGACGGAGGGAGGATGAGAGGATTGCAGGTGGCAGGCGGATATTTCTGATAAGGATGATGGGTTTGGCATGAAGGAGCTGGACTGTGAGGAGGGATAAGGATGAGTGGTAAAATGGGGGAGGGAGCGGACGGGGGATGAGGAGAGGAGGAGAGATAAGGAGGGTGAAGGAGGGGGATGAGGATGAGGAGAGATACGGTATACGCGAGCGGGAAGTCATAGGGGAGGCTGGATGGAGGATCGAGGAAGCATCGCAAGTGCAATGAGTGCCGCAAGTTTCTTACAATTCTGCTTCCTGGCGCAGATATGAAGATGGTGATCCCGCCACAGCTTCTCTTCATAATGGGGTGTTGGATCGGATTCCGGTGGCGCTCAGCTGGCCTCAGACTATAAAACATACTACCGCGCTTGTTCATTACATTGTGTTCGCGTGTGCCAGATGATTGGGCCGAGATTCGATAGATCGATCGAGGATGTTGGGGGCAATTGATAAGGTTGTGGATGGTTGAAGTGAGATCGAGGTGCGAAGGGGGCGTGTTGGGAAGGGGGGGATGTACGGCGCAGGAGACAGGCGGAGGGTTGGGTATGCGGGGTGATACAGAGATGAGGAGGGGAATGAATGGGTCACCGTCGAAGCAGAAATGGCAGACCGACGCAGACGCTTCGCATGCTGATACGTCAGGAGGGTGACTCAGGACGGGAGTGGGGAACAACCCGGTCAGGCAGCAGGAACCGGAGTGGTGCAGGAAGATGAGGGCAGGATTATCATAGAGGGGGGATATAAGCGGAGTCGAGTAACGCCGCACAGGGAGAGAGAGAGAGAGAGAGGAGAGAGATAGAGAAAGAACACAAAGAGACAGAGAGAGAGAGAGAGAGAGAAAAAGAGAAAGAGAAGATGGCGAGGGGTTAGACTTGGGCAGTTATCGGTAGACTATTGGGAAGCCGGGGGGGGGGGGGCGAAATGTTACATACATATACGAACACATACACATTTAGGTGCAGATAGTGATGGAGAGAGAGTGGAAGAGAGATAGGGATAGACATGGACGGGCCATGCGGGCGAAGCAGCGAGACAGAGAGAGGGAGAGAGAGAGAGAGAAAGCGGGATGTATATTCGTATACGTATAGTATATGTAGAGAAAAGGTTTGAGAAAAGGAGATAGAGAGAGAGATAATCAGAGAGGGCAAGAGATAGAGGTGGACATATAGAGTGAGAGAGGGAAAGAGAGAGAGTGAGAGAGAGAACCAGAGGAGACACGAAAAAAAATGTTCCCCAAACACTGCTTGCTCTTAGGGGCTTTCTTGCAATTCGAAGGAACTGGGCCTGACGGCCGCTATGGCGGCTGTGTGGCCGCCGTCGCCGCCCCGTCGACGCCTCGTCGCCGCCCGTCGTCTGGGCCTGTCGGCCAGTCTGGCGGCTATGTGGTTGCCGTCGCCGCCCCGTCGTTCCCTCGTCGCCGCCCGGCCAGTTTGACAGCTATGTGGCCATCATGGTCGCGTCGCCGGTTCTAATTTCCCCTGTCTGCAAGAGTGCTAGGATCTACCCCCCTTCCCAGGGGTTCACGGTAAACTGTTTTCCTAATTGTAATTTACATATGATTTTGCCCCACCGTCCATCCGAAACATGGTTTCGAACCATTCTAGGCATGCCAGTATTGGTTCCCCCCGCATCCTCTGCAACAAAGTGTATGCGCGCGCTCGTGTATCAACAAATATTGGTTTCCACGAGTCCCTTGCAACATAATAAAAAACGAGACGGAGTGCACATGCGCGCGTCGTCGGGCGCGCATACCGAAATCGTTCACAAACCTTAAGCTTCGCAGCGTTTTCAAAGTCGCGCGTCCCGAAAACATGTAAACACACATACGGTTTCTCAACAAGGGTTTTCTAAAAAGCCGTCGCCCGCGTACTTCTGCGAATAAGAGAACCAGGATCAACATTTTTCATATAATATTGCCAAAGGGGCCTTTCGCGCGCACATGCCGAAGTCGCTCGAACGCCTTTGCGCGCGCGTTGTCGCAATAACCCCGTACAACAGATGTCACAAAGTGCCTTCGCGCGCTCCGTCTCGCGCGAATTCCGAAGTGTCTCAAAGACCGTAGTTGTCGTAAGGATGTCACAATCGAGCGGTCCGAGAACATATAGACACAGGGTTTTGCAACATCAGTTTTCAAAAAATGCTTGCGCGCGCTGTCTGGCGAATTCCTAAGACAAATCATCAGTTCCTCAATGTTGTCATCAGATTCTGCCAAACGGGCCTCTCGCGCCGCATTTCGAACTCACCCGAACGCCCTTGCGCGCGTGCTGGGGGCACGGTCCGTGTCAAATAATACAACGCGGGCCACTCGCACGCGTCGGCCGCACGCGCATGTCGAACTCCGCCCAAGACCTTCGTCACCGATTCGGACATCGTCATCGTTAATGGCGGGCGTGATCAACGTCGGCGCCGTCATTGGCCTTGCCGTCGTCATCGCTACCGTCGTCACCATCAGTACCACTCTCATCATCGTGTCTACCGTTGTCGGCGTCGCCATGGTACCGCGCCCGCCCACGCCACTCATTCGCACTGATGTGCCCCTTGGAAGTGCCCAGCTTTCAGCGCCACCGCGGCTGCGTCCGTCGCGCTTCACTAGCTGGACGCTGCTGCGCGCGCGAGCTTCCGCGGGCCAGCGCGGCCGCAGAGATGCACCAGCCAACGCAAACCACTCATCGCAATCGCCGCCGCATGGGCTTTGCAAGCCAAATTGCAAGTGGGTGGCTGGGATGTTTGCGCGGGCAGTGGAACTGACAACTTCAAGTTCGACAGGGTGACGGTCGCACCACATATATTGGACCGCGTAGCTTTCACAGCCTAGAACCTAGAAGGCACCACGACAATTTCACCACATGGCGTGCAACACACATACTGCGCCACATAGATTGCTCCACGTCGTGTCCAGGCCAAATTGAACTAGGATCTACCCCCCCTCGGGATTATCGGTGCACCCTTGGGATGCGCATCTTAATGCCAACTCATATCACCCCACCCAGGCCTGATTCGACACCCCGTAGTTTGCGCGCCCATACGTTTATCAAAACCATCCGTTTGCAAGAGTCCTGTGCAACAAATGAGACACAGTGCACGCACACATCGTCGCGCGCATGCCGGATTTCTTCGAACAGCTTAGGTGTCGAAACGAGTTCAAAACCAAATGCCCCGATAACATATAATACCACATAGTTTTGCAACGATGCGTTGCTGGCTTTTTAATGGTATGTGCGCGGACTCCTGCGAATTTGCAAGAAACCGAATTGTATGAATGACAGATGGGTAACACAAGCCACCACATGTCACCGAACGTGCCCCTCGCGCGGGCAATTCGGCATCATGCGGACGCCCTTGCGCGCGTGCTGGGGGGCACGGTCCCCGTCAAATGACGCCGAGCAGTCCATTCGTGCCCGACGGCCGCGCGCGTGCGCATGCCGAAATCAGATTGCACCACATGGATTGCACCACGTCGATTGCACCGCATATACTGCACCACGTACCTTGCTCCACAATCGACTTAGACCACGTATAATGCTCCATACGCTGTCACCACATCGATTGTACCACAGCTACTACACCACATAGCTTGCACCGTAGACATTGCTCCACATATTGCTCCACATAGCTTTCACCACAACTGTTGTTGCACATTGGTTGCAAGGAACCACTGTGTTGGAACCGCGCTGGTTAACACCTGTTTGTACATATTTCTGTACGGTCCAGATGTCAACATCTGTACAAAGCGGCAGAGTAAGACATGCAACAAGAAGGAGAGAGAGAGAGAGAGAGATAGAGTGAGAGAATAATTATCATAAGGCGCGATGACGATCGCAGGTGCAAACTGATGTTGGGAAGCGTTTTAGTGCGCTCGCAGGATCCGCTTGGCGATCGGTGTTGCCGCTACTGGCCTCGGGGAGTCCCCCTCCTCTCCGCCTTGAATCATAGAAAATCTCTCAAGGGCCCCAACAGACCACGAGGAACCCCATGCGTTGCCCTCATCACAATGCATACCCCCTCACACTCCATCCTCGCACCTCGTCGCCGCCCCATCCCTCTTCTATTCGACCCCGTCGTCGTAGTCATACTCCTGTACCTCGTCATCCTCCGCCCAAATCCCCGTCCACATCCGCCTCCTTGTCGCGCCCCTCCGCTTGTCATATCCGCAGCCTTGATCTTCTCCTCCTCTTTCTCGTGTCAGTTCCTCGACGCACACGGAGAGACACAGACGGGCCGGGGTGGCCCCGAGGGCACCCACGGGGAGGCATTCGCCGAGGGGCGCCCAGAGACCTTCGACTCTCGGACCTCCCCGAGCAGCTCGCAGCCGGCGACGACGACGACGGCGACCGGCGCACGGCTCAAGCCCGCGGCGCGCGGCGCCGCGTGCTGGGCCCGGCGGCGTGGCGCGCGCGGGCGCCGCCGTCACCGCCCCTTGCCGACGCTGCCGTCCGTCGATCCCACGAAAATCAGGAGCAAAAGGAGGACGTCCAGGGAAGCTGGAAAACGTGGCCCGGCCAGGGCTGGCCCTTCCACTCTTTCCAGCCCCGGTCGGTTCCCTTTCGTTTTTCCAGCCCTGGCGACCAAGTCCCAATTGTTTCGGGTTTGTTCCAGCCCCTGGTAGTTTTTTCCAGCCATTGCCACTTCTTCCACTTTTATTGAATTTCCAACATCCACTGTTTCAGGCTTTCCTGTACACGTAGATGAATCCACGTTGGGTTCGAGAGTACGCATTGGGCGAGTGTTCGTATCACGCGGCCGGTCTCACATGATCGGGCGCGTACGTCTTCAGTGGCCTCCCTAGAACAAGAGGAAGCTGCACAGGCACAAATTTGTGGGAGTCAATGTCCTGGATCGGCGCTGGCCCCCCTGGCGACGCCTCCGGCGCCGCCCCTGGCGCGCTCCGCGCTCAGGGGATGGGGGTCCAGCGTCGATGCAAGAAATCGGCCTTGACCTCCAGCAATTCATTTTTATGCCGCGTTGCGTACCTCTACTCTCCTCTTGGTCTTTTCGGGCATGCCGAAGGCAAGGCGGGCGTGAGGCGTCAGCAGATGACGCCCCAGACGGAGATTGCGAGATTACCACGCTGCAGGCTGAAGCCGAGAGGTCAGCACATCCAGAATGGATTGGACGAGGCAGCACGGATTTCTCGTCCTCTCCCTTTCTTTCCAATTTCTCATTTTGCTCCTCCTCGCTGCCGCCGCCGCTGTCGTCATCGTTGTCTGCATAGTCATGGATCTGATTCCAGGATCGAGGTTCCTGGGCCTGGGCGTTCCTGTTGCTCTGCTCTTGGGCAATCTCCACGGCCAGATTCACGTCGAAATTCTGGCCAGAATGCTTCCCACGAGACGTCTGGGGGTCGTCGTCGCGTCCTTTGTCCGTCGTCGTCCGTCGTTCGCCGCCCTAGCGGCCAGCGGAAGGGCCCAGGGCGAAGGGAGGCAGGAGAGAGGTAGGAGGGAGGAACCTGGCGACTTCTGGCCCAGACCTGATCAGGAGTGCAAGACCGTGTGGCAATGGGAGGAGGAGGTCACGGAGGAGGAGCACTTAGTGATGGGGGAGCTGTTCCTGGACGGCAGTTGTACTAAATGTGTCGTGTCCGAGCTGAATCGGGCGGCCTGGGGGTTTGCGGTTTTCGATAGGGCGTTCAGGTTCATAGGGTGAGTTTTTTGGCACGGTGTATGCCGGCCTGCCTCAAACGTCCCAGGCGGGGGAGTTTGCTGCCTTCGGGCGTGCTAGTCAAATTGTCGAAGGCCTGTGTGACATGTACACTGACTGTGCGAATGTGCATGTACAGGCGAACAGACCCCTGGGTGACCAAATAAATTATTAGAGGCCTTATGCGGGTTTGCTCCTGCACGGGCAACGGGTGTCGCATCTCACCCGGTCTGTTAGCAAAGTCAAAGCGCACTTGTCTCTGGAAGAACAGGGATCCCAGTGTGCGGGATGAGCTTTCGGAGAGGGAATTCCCAAGCCGACCAAGCCGCGAAAATTGGGGTCCGCCTCCACGCGGCCGCTGCGGCCGAGCAGGTGCAAGAGTTGGACAAAGTGCTGCTGATAGCGAGCACAGTCTGTTTTTTCGTTGGCCGAGGCTCGATCGTAATGATGTGGAGTTATTGCAAGAAGGGCGGGCCCGAGCGGGGCACCCTGACCGCACGATGCACGCTTGGGAATTCAAAGCGAATCGCTGGCGCTGCAGTGTTTGTCTTCAGGCCTCTCGGTTTCAGCTCCGCCCCACGCGTCGTGTTGCTCGGGTATCCGTGGGGACTGGGACTTCGAGGAGATGGAGAGACAAGGCCATTTTGTGGTTGGCTTGCCATGCGACAGTGGCGACGTGCTGAACATATGCACTCGGTGCGCGGCCCATGTTGGGCCTGGCTCGCGCAAGCCGTCAAACACAAGAGGCATGTGTGAACAGCAAATGACCGCTCACAAGAAATGTCTGTGGCGCCGTGTGCTCGGCGGGCTCGACCCCAGCTGCAATTCTAGTCTGAAGGTGGACTCCGACGGTGTTCAAGATCTCACCGTATGAGGAGCATCTACATCATGGTTTAAATCACTACGGTGCCCCGCAGGTGTCGGGGTCACTGACGCATGCGAGCTGCCCCACCCCTGTCTGCTCAGGTGGACATGGATGTGGCCACACAGTTCCAGCTTGCTGGTCATAATCATGTGGATGTCAACAACTAGTCATCTTTGTTGTCGCTTCTGTCCTCGGAGATCTCGGACCGAGTCGGACCAGACCAAAGAACATTTGGGCGGTGGAACACCGAGATTCGCGGTTTGGTACGAGAAAGACGGAGAGCACAATCTGACAACGCAGGGGCGCAGTATAGGCCTTTGAAGTTGTTCGGCGAGGAGGTGCAGAAAACAATCCGGAAGTACGAGAGACCAACGAATGCAATATTCTCCGGACTTCCCGCGGTATTCGGGATTTGCCTGCGGCTCATAGCAAAAGAAAGAAGGCCCGACTCACCAGCATGATCGACTGCGAGGGGCGCGAGAAGGCTGGCAGACATTAAGTTGTAGATGGGTTCGCAACGTTTTATGTGGATCTACACGTATACCGGCGCATCGGGGCCCAGGCCCCGGGGGCCGCGACTTCTATAACAAATGTGGGTGCGCAGGCGCTTGGGGGGGCCCAAAGGCCTACAAAACGCCACCAGCAAGCTCCAAGAGAGCCCGAAGACGCTCCAAGAGAGACCCGATGCGCCCACAGGCCGCTGCAAGACCCCCAAGATGGCCTCCGGACGGCCTAAGAAACCCCCAAGACACCCCAAGAGGCCACTCAGAGGCCTCCCAAGAGAGCCCCAAGGGGCAAATATAGCCACATTCCCTTCGTAAGACGTGTAGTTTAGCATATTGTTTGTTTTCGCTGTCGTACCGTTCTCGACGACCTCAGAGGCTCCCAAGACCGCCCCAAGACGGTCCAAGAGGCGCCCCAGAGGGGCCCAAGACGGCCAAAGAGGACCCCAAGACGGCCCAAGAAGTGCCCAAGACGGCCCAAACGGGCTCCCAAAGGGGCCCAAGAGGAGCCCGACATGGGGAATTCCAATTGAAATTCCAAGCCCCCCGCCCGAAGAGGACCCCCGAGGCCCGCAAGAGGCCCCCGAGAAGCCCCCAAGAGGCCCCAAGATGCCCCAAGAGGCTTTCAAGACGCCCCCCAAGGAGCCCCCCTTCGGAAAGCATAAATTTTGAGCATATTCGCTTGGTTCGCTTTCGCAGCGTCCACGACGGCCCCAGAGGTTTCCGAAAAACGCCCCAGAGGTCCCCAAGAGGGTTCCAAGACGTCCCAAGAAGCGGCCAAATCCCCAAGAGGCCACCAAGACCGCTCCCAGCGGAGGTCTCGGACGAGGCTCCGAATGGATTTTGCCGCCCTTGCGCTGGAGAGGCCCCCAAGAAATTCAAGGAAGCCCCCTAGAGGCCCTTCAGAGGTTGCCGGAGACCCCCAGGAGAGACCCCAAGACAGTCCAAGAAGAGTCAAGGCGCCCCAAGAGGCCTCCAGAACGCCCCCTGAGGGAACCCCAAGGACCCAACATCGTCCAATTCCTTTAGGAAGTACTTTTTTCGCATGTTCGCCTGGTTCGCCTCGCCTTCCCAGCGTCCAGACGGCCCCAGAGGTTTCCGAAAAACGCCCCAGGGTCCCCAAGAGGGTTCAAAGACTCTCAAGACGCGGCCAAACCCCAAGATGCTATAAAGACAGCTCCCAGCGGGGGTCTCGGACGAAGGTTCCGAATGGATTTTGCCGCCCTTGCGTTGGAGAGGCCCCCAGGAAACTCAAGGAAGCCCCAAAGGGGCCCCTCAGAGGTTTCCAGAGACCCCCAAGAGAGACCTCAAGACAGTCCAAGCAGCGTCAAGGCGCCCCAAGACGCCTCCAGCCCTAAGGGAGCCCCAAGGACCAACAATTGCCGAATTCCTTTAGGAAGTATGTCTTTCGCATGTTCGCCTGATTTGCCTTCCCAGCGCCCACGACGGCCCCAGAGGTTTCCGAAAAACGCCCCAGAGGTCCCCAAGAGGGTTCCAAGACGTCCCAAGAAGCGGCCAAACCCCCAAGAGGCCACCAAGACCGCTCCCAGCGGAGGTCTCGGACGAGGCTCCGAATAGATTTTTGCCGCCCTTGCGCTGGAGAGGCCCCCAAGAAATTCAAGGAAGCCCCCTAGAGGCCCTTCAGAGGTTGCCGGAGACCCCCAGGAGAGACCCCAAGACAGTCCAAGAAGAGTCAAGGCGCCCCAAGAGGCCTCCAGAACGCCCCCTGAGGGAACCCCAAGGACCCCAAATCGTCCAATTCCTTTAGGAAGTACTTGTTTCGCATGTTCGCCTGGTTCGCCTCGCCTTCCCAGCGTCCAGACGGCCCCAGAGGTTTCCGAAAAACGCCCCAGGGTCCCCAAGAGGGTTCAAAGACTCTCAAGACGCGGCCAAACCCCAAGATGCTATAAAGACAGCTCCCAGCGGGGGTCTCGGACGAAGGTTCCGAATGGATTTTGCCGCCCTTGCGTTGGAGAGGCCCCCAGGAAACTCAAGGAAGCTCCAAAGGGGCCCCTCAGAGGTTTCCAGAGACCCCCAAGAGAGACCTCAAGACAGTCCAAGCAGCGTCAAGGCGCCCCAAGACGCCTCCAGCCCTAAGGGAGCCCCAAGGACCAACAATTGCCGAATTCCTTTAGGAAGTATGTCTTTCGCATGTTCGCCTGATTTGCCTTCCCAGCGCCCACGACGGCCCCAGAGGTTTCCGAAAAACGCCCCAGAGGTCCCCAAGAGGGTTCCAAGACGTCCCAAGAAGCGGCCAAACCCCCAAGAGGCCACCAAGACCGCTCACAGCGGAGGTCTCGGACGAGGCTCCGAATAGATTTTTGCCGCCCTTGCGCTGGAGAGGCCCCCAAGAAATTCAAGGAAGCCCCCTAGAGGCCCTTCAGAGGTTGCCG